CATACGACTGGAATGTACATGTATTTCCTTCCCCAAAGGATTGCAAATGTAGAGAAACGAAGCTCAATTCGTCCAAAAATTTCACAAATGTTTCAGATTGTGTATCTCTAACGGAACTAAAAGATCTTGGACCATTTACTTTGGCGTTTATATCTCCAAGAATGATGACCGTTCTTAGCTGAGAGTATATCATATATATGTCATACAGCCGCTCAACATAAATTCTGAAATGTTCGAAAGGTTTAGACGATGCAGGTAAGTATACACAGAAACAATATATACTCTCGGGGTGAATAGTGTGAATTTCTATTCCTGTTATACGAGTTTCGTCTATATCAATACAGTCTACATATTTGACGATTGGAGATTTAACAATAAAAGTCACACTCCCTCCATTCGAATTTTGAATGCTTCAGGGTGGCTTTTATCAACACATTTCGGATTTAAAGATAAATAAGTCGAATCAATACTGTCGAGTACATTTACACAGTGTCTTCGCAACCAATGTTCCTGTAAAGCACATATATCAACATTGTGGACTTTCAAGCACTCCACTAAGTATGGGACGCTTGACATAACCCCTCGACAATTCCATGACATTAATGTTAGTTTACTAAACATGTTCATAAAAGTGTCAAATAAGATAGATATGATTACTAGATATATTATACTGTTAATTGCCATTGTTTTCATTCTTATAACTGGTTCTCTCTTGTTGCTGACGACGGTATAACTAACGTTTGACAAAAATGTCATCTGGCGAAAAGTTCGAATTATACACTCTTTCTTTTTCCGATTGTCGCTCATTAAGTTGAGCAGAGTTACTATATAATCCTTTTGTGAAAACCGAATATAAGTGAACTTGATATTGTTGACAGTTAGGAAGGCTCGCATGTCACTTTCGGTGCAGTCTTTCCTAATTCCTCCGACATACAAACGTTCGACTCGTTTGTCCGGTACTGCCCTGAAATTGTTTAACAAAACCATGTTTTAATCACTCGATATAACAAGTTCAATGTGTTCTGGTGATGATTGCTTCTGTGTTTGGCGTTTTTTTCATGATTTTCTATAATCATTGACATTTCATATGAACTAAATTCGAACATACTATTATCAGCGATGACTGTGTCTATATTTATAGAATTATCATAAACTATATCTTCTCTGCCTCTATATTGATGTTCAGTCGTCGTCTTTCCTTGTTCCATTTCTGGGATCTCTACCGTTTGAAATTTTGACAGAGTTTTTGGGCTAACACACGAAATGAGACCAATGTCACCGTCTATTATTATTTTCGGAGAATTTGGATGATTCTTTGTTTTTATTTTTGTCGTTTTCATGTGACCACTTCTGTGTAAATCGGAGATACTTCTGTTGTTTACTTTGACGTCCGATTTAACTGTATCTGTTTCTTCGGTCAAGTCGTATATATCTTTTCTCACTAATTTAAAGTTGGCACATAAAGCATCTACTCTGATAAATTTTGAGTCTTCAAGCCTTGTTATTCTAGAATCTGCTGACTTTTCGGATGTTTTCATAGCATCAATATCTTCATTTACTGACTGAATCTTGGTTGAAATTTTTTCTGTTTCAGTTGTAAGAGAACTTATAACCGTATCGATTTCTGAAATATCCCAATAAATAAAAAACTAGAATAACATACAGAAGCAGCAATCATGACATATATAAACAGCTAAACGACATATTGAAACAGCTAGAATGACACACAGATACAGATAGAACTACATACAAAAAAAGACACACAATGACAAAGAGAACCAGCCAGAGTGACTCGTAGAAACAACCACAAAGTGACATACAGAAACAGCTAGAGTGACATACAGAAACAGCTAAAGTGACAAACAGAAACAACTTGAGTGACATTCAGAAGCAGCTACAGTGACATACAGAAACAGCTAATATATCATATAGAAACAGCTAGAATGACAAACAAAATACAGCTTATCGACATATTGAAACAGCTAGAATGACATATATAAACAGCTAGAGTGCACGTGACATATATAAACAGTCAGAGTAACAGACATAAACAACTAGAGTGACATACATAAACAGACACCGTAACACAAAGAAACAGCTAGAGTGACATACAAAAACACAAAGTGACATACAGAAACAGCTAGAGCAACGTACATACATAGCACGAGTGACATACAGGATCACACAGTGACATACATGAACAGTCAGAGTAACAGACAGAAACAACTAGAGTGACATACATAAACAGCCAGCGTAACACAAAGAAACAGCTAGAGTGACATACAAAAACACAAAGTGACATACAGAAACAGCTAGAGTAACGTACATAAAGAGCGCAAATGACAAACAGGAACACAAACGAACACACAGAAACAGCTAGAATAACGTACATAAACAGCACGAGTGACATACAGGAACACAAAGGAACACACAGAAACAGATAGAGTAACATACATAAACAGCTAGAGTGACATACAGGAACACAAAGGAACACTCAGAAACAGCTAGAGTAACGTACATAAGCAGCACGAATGACATACAGGAACACAAAGGAACACACAGAAACAGCTAGAGTAACATACATAAACAGCACGAGTGACAAACAGGAACACAAACGAACACACAGAAACAGCTAGAATAACGTACATACACAGCACGAGTGACATACAGGAACACAAAGGAACACACAGAAACAGATAGAGTAACATACATAAACAGCTAGAGTGACATACAGGCACACAAAGGAACACTCAGAAACAGCTAGAGTAACGTACATAAGCAGCACGAATGACATACAGGAACACAAAAGAACACACAGAAACAGCTAGAGTAACATACATAAACAGCACGAGTGACAAACAGGAACACAAACGAACACACAGAAACAGCTAGAATAACGTACATACACAGCACGAGTGACATACAGGAACACAAAGGAACACACAGAAACAGATAGAGTAACATACATAAACAGCTAGAGTGACATACAGGCACACAAAGGAACACTCAGAAACAGCTAGAGTAACGTACATAAGCAGCACGAATGACATACAGGAACACAAAAGAACACACAGAAACAGCTAGAGTAACGTACATAAACAGCACGAGTGACATACAGGAACACAAAGGGACATACAGATACACAAGAATGGGATGCAAAAATACAAAGTGATAAACTAGACAATAGTGTTATTCTAAGGGAAAATGTTAAAAAATTTACTCTTTACGAAATTGGAAGGATGAAATCATCATGTTTTTAAAACAATTTGGCCGAAAACTTAAGAAAACAGTCAAGATAAAAGTTACTTAAACCGAAAACTCAACCTGCAAGTGTTTCCATATATGCGAACAAACCATGAACAATCTCTTCTTGTATCCATATTTCTATTTTTAATCTTGCTTTTTTACGATTTGTCATTATTTTATATAGCAATTTTACTACGGTCACGCATCCGATTTTCAAACTGAAAAGGCCGAAAGTTTTCAAAGTAGGCAATGTTCATTTGTACACAAACAGAAGGCAAAAAAAAAAATAATAATAGGGGGCAGATTTTCATAATGGAGGTGCAAATGGTTTAAAAAATACGGGAAAACATCATTGAAACAGAACAGTTGCTTGGAAACATGCATCCAAAAAATATGCCCCTATTCAAAATGGCTGCATTAATCGTAAAGTGGCCTGTTGATTCGACTTAGGAATTGACATATTTGCATTTTTATTTTTTAGAAGCCTGTGTAATCCTATTGTAATGGCTGTCGTCATTACAAGGCAATATGGCCGCTATGCAAATTAGAAAAGTATCCCAAATTTTGCAATAATTAACGGCGTTGTATTGGAAGCTGTCAGCTGATACAGCAACTAATAGTTCAACTTTTCCAAACTATAATGAAAATTGTATCAATATGAAACAACAAAAATATGTCTCACACACAGAAATAAACTCTTCATAGAAACAGCCAAGAAGGGGGTCTTTCATTTCTGTATTCTTTAATTTTTTAGGTTATTTTTCTCTATTCTAATATTTTTGCTCATTATTCTCTATTCTTTATATTTCAGCACCTCATTATTTTCTATTCTTTATTTCTATGCTCTGTATTTCTCTATCCTTTTTTTTGGGTCCATTTTTCTTTAGATTTGATCCATTATTCTCAATTCTGTAAACCCCATCCAGACTGGCATGGATACCAGGCTTAAAATCTTGTATGCCAGACGCACGTTTCGTCTATTAAAGACTCATAAGTGACGCTGGATTCAAAAAAGTTATTAGGCCAAATAAAGTACGAAGTTGAAGAGCATGGAGGACCAAAAATTCCGAAAGGTTTTGCAAAATACAGCTAAGGTAATCTACTCCTGGGGGTAGAAAATCCTTAGTATTTCGAAAATTTCTAAGTTTTTTAAACAGTTTATTTATAATTATGATCAAAATAAACACTTATTACAGATTAATAATAAAACAAATCTATTCAGTACAAAAGGTACATCCATCCGCTAAACTGACATCCATTGCATTGTCAAGTACTTTTTTTTCTCACAAAATTTTCACTTCGCAGTTTCTATTTATAAAAATAATAGAGCTCTTTTAAGGATGCTCGCTCGGCTGTTTTGTTTAAGGATGCTCGTACGGCTGTTTTGTTTAAGGATGCTTGCTCGGCTGTTCTTTTAAGGATGCCCGCTCGGCTGTTTTGCAATCATTTCCCGAATAATGAGTCCAACATTTAGAATTAGTCTTTCAAATATTTCTTGAATGTTCTACCGTTCACAAAATTAACATTTGTGTAATACGATAAAAAGAAACCCAACATATTAACAATTAAGTATTCATGATAAACAAAACAACATTGTCATAAAACACAAACCAACAATGTGTTCATTAAAAAATATCACTATTCTACACATGGCGGTGATTTTGACTGTTTTAGACTTTTGTCTATGCGAATTCAACTTATCGCATGGTATCAATAAGGCATTTTGTGCCGGTTCACTTTTAAACTGCACACGATATTCTGTCAATCGGTTGATTCTGATGAGATTGTAACGTTTATCTAGCTTCTGTCTCACTATCGGAAGTATGATAATCTGGTTCACGATTAATTTCGGCGATGCCAGTGCACTTCTGGTAAAAATTAGTCTGACGGCTTCGGTGCACGAACATATGCAACTTTAAGTCTATCTAAGTGAGCATATTTTTCAGAACCTTGCCGGTAGACGGCTCTCGAAGATTCACAATGTACTAACTAGTTTTATCTATTATATACTAATAATGTTTAACGAGACCGGAATAAGGTACCGATATTTTCTGTATCCAACTAACAAATGTTGAAATTTTTAATAAAGTATGTTGCAATTTAAAAAATATAATATTATACCTAGTGCTTAGTTTTAAATTAGTAATTTCATAGTTATTACATGTATACAAATTATTAACAGGCCTCGGACGAATGGAAGATATAAAAATTTTAATAAAGCTAGAATATGACTTGAAAGTAAATTTTCTTGCAATTTCTCTAAAATATTCTAATGTAATGATGAGAAGAATAATTCACTTTAAAATGGAGCGTAAATATCGGCCAATGGGAAATAACTAGAACAATTCTTCGAACATTTCACAATGTATTTCTTGTCTTTTTTTGTGAAAAAAACCGGAAGCGGTTTGTTCAACGCACAAGATGTTACCATTTACATTTGAAAGTATTTTTTACGGACGAACAAAACTAACCATTTTGGCAGCAGAAACAAAACCAAGTATTGCTTGATTTGTGTTAAGACAATTAGAAAGAAAAATAAAATGTTTCATTGAAATTTTTGTTATTACCTGTACTTAATAATTTTTAAATTGGTTTTAGTAAACTCTCCGACACAAACCCTTTCCGTGTAGTCCAAACACAGAGCAGACGCCATTGTCAGGAAGCAATTATCAATACATTGTACAAAGTGTCCTTTATGATTGATGACGAATATAAAGTTTTGTACAGTGAAAAGCATTTGACACTTACTATTCGTTACTATACATCCTGGTTCAAACGTTGTTAATTTTGAACAATCGTTTAATGCCCGGGAAGTGTTGTAATTAAATTTGAAATTTCCGAATTTATTCAAAACAATTATTACGCGTCCATTCGTATCTGACACACACACGTCTCCATTGTTATTCTCGGTTACAAACAGAATTCTAAGACCGGGATGAAACAAAGGTTTTCCGTTATTGTAATTTTGAATTTCTTGAACTGCTTTTCCGTCTGTGTACCGGACGATTTTATAATTATTATAACTGTCATCAGACATGGTAACCAATATATCCCCTGCCTTTGTACAATGTAGACCACTCGGGTGCCACTGTGGACCTACATCTATAAAAGTTACTGTCTTTCCTTCTTTAATGATGGTAACTTTGCCAGGTTTCCCTTCTGTGAAGATTAATTCACAGTTGTTTGTAATAGAAATGTCATTTGCATGTAAACTTATTGGCACGTCAACTGTTTCTAGAACTTCCCCATCCATATTTATGCGCGCAATCATATTGTCCTGTCCACAAACCCAGAACTGATCTTCCGGTAAGCTGCATGCTCTTGTGGGTACCATCGGAGTCGGGACTGACAGAATAAGTTTTGGTTTATCCGATATTTTAAGATATCCTAATTCGAAGTATAACTTCTTCCAATTAACGAGTTTCGTGTCAAATTCAGGGTGTTGAACTTCAAATTCGGAAATATTATCTGCCTTCTTGTGATGATAATTTACCACATCCTTAATATCTGCTGAACTCATAATATCTTTATTTCTTTGTAAAATGACACATGCTTGTTTTAAACATGCACTATCATTTGATAGATAATTATGCAATGCAGAAATATCTTCTTTCCTTAAATCATCTGCCTCGTTCTGATATCTGTCAAAAATGTCATCAATTTTTCGGTGACAAATTTCTCTATGCTCCTGGATAGATTTATTCAGTTCGTCATAGGCAGTTGCAGTAGCAGAGGTTGCATTTTCTATCCTTAAAAGGTTCTGTTTAAATTCTGGTATTACTTTACTCTCCAAATGGGCATTATGTTTATTTATCTCATGGTATCGATCATTGATATAACTGGAAAGATACATGGTTCTGTGACTTTGATGGTCTCCAGTAAATACACATTCTTGACATACGGGTATTTTACATTGTTTACAAAATCTCATGCATCTTGCAAGCTTATGTTTTTGACATATTTGAGAATGTATCTGGGTTTTTTTCTGTGTAAAAGCCACGATGTCGTGCTCATATTTCTTTCTTTTACTTCTGCTTCTGGAATGATCACAAATGCAATCTTGACAAAGATTAAACACGCAGGAATTGCAATGATTATCAGCAGCGATGATTTCACAAAGGTCACATACAATAGTATTCTGACCGGATTTTATAAACCAATTACCCATGGTTCTCTACAAAATAGAAATAGTCTATGACAACTCTGTCACATATGAAGTAAATTTACTCACACATTTATATTCCCATATCATTTTATGTACTATAATACACTGAAAATTTCTTACAAATTGATGGTCAAATGGCAAAAAAGTGATCTTTAAGTTTGAGGTCTTTCCTGACTCACGTGATTTGAAATTGTACATGTGTGACTATTGCAATAATTATCAGTTTGGTTGTTCACATGTTTGACTGTTGCAATAATTATCAGTTTGGTTGTCATGTGTTGACTGTTGCAATAATTGTCAGTTTGGTTTATCGATAACTCAGAGCTGTACAAAAGAAGTTAAGTGATCAAAATAAAACAATCATCAGAGCTGTTCTGATTTTTATTTTTAGGCCAATACATTGTTGTTTTCATATCATTAACAAAATTGACAGTCACTTTTTTGTATTTATTTGAAGGAATCATTGGAAATCAAAATATAAAAAGTATTTTTTCGTATGCATGTTTAGTGTTCTGTCTTTTGTCATATATTGTATATACTCAATTGTCATATGATGTTTGAATTGCAAATGAAATATTCATTCTTCATTCATTATGTATTCTTTCAATGTATGTAGCTGTTAATTTCTTTCTGTTCTGCATTTGTTTGAGGAACATAATAAATTTTGTCAAGATATCGAAAAGGTTCAGTTTACATTGTCTTTTCAATTAGATTATAATTGTTTTAACCATATCAGGACTTGCTAATAGCACAATATTTGTAAGCATATATAATGTTGCTGTTTTACTGTCTTTAGTTTTTAAATCTCTTCCACCCTCGTATTTGATTGGCTATCCAACTATTGTAATTCAAGCCCAACCGAAGAGTCGTATAAAAACGAGACATACATCGGACGAAGTTATAAGACGACCAAAAGGAACATACTAATAAATCAAACTTTTAAAAAAATGTTGAGTTATTTGAAACACTATCCCAGGCAAAGATGACCAGAGCGGTTTTATCCCAGGCGAAGATGACCAGAGCGGTTTTATCCCAGGCAAACATGACCAGAGCGGTATTATCCCAGGCAAAGATGACCAGAGCGGTATTATCCCAGGCAAAGATGACCAGAGCGGTATTATCCCAGGCAAAGATGACCAGAGCGGTATTAAATGTTTTAAATTTTGGTTTCATTGTTTTTTAAGTTCATACTTGATTTGGCCTTCCAACTGTTCAGTTTGATTCGAGCGCCACTGATGGGTCTAATGTAATCCAAACGTACATCTGGCGAACTTAATTATTAGCTTTGTATCTTTGTTGAGTTTTCACTGTTTGGATTCATCATGAGACTGATATCGTTTGAAGAATAACTCCTTTTTCAAATTGAAATACCCGTTTTCTAAAGATTACGGATGTCACTAGTAGAGCAGAAAACTGTTTACTATTCAGGGAACACCAGATATATAGGTATCGAATTTTTATTTAAAAATCTTATGATTCCATGTAGTTTTTTGTAGACTATTGTTTGTCTTCTCTCTTATCCCAAGGGTTGACTGAAGAAATGAAATATGGTCAGCTTGAATCTCAATTGGCTGTAGAGCCCATGCTTAAGAAGGTGTACGTTTGGCCTTGCGAGATGTATTAATAAACAGCCTTGTCCGGTCTGAATGAAGACGTCCATGCAGACAAGTGTATGGATAAAAAAGACGTCTTAAAAATATTACAAAATCAGAGAAAACTGAGGGCCTGGTTGGGAGTGTTAATTTCTGTTTTTATTTTGTTTTTAGGCCATTTTGTATTTTCATCATTTTTACTCGGTATTCTCTATTCTGTTAACCTTATACAGACCCTCCCAACTGTATAAACATATTTTAATAATGAAATATTTTTAATGCCTCTGTCCAACATTATTGCAGAATTTAAAATGTACATATTGTTTTCATTCTTTAATCAAACGGTTGTGTTATATGTCCCTTTATATTGTCCTAAATTTTCATGAAATATTTCCATATGGACGTTAAAAGATCAACAGTTAATCAATAAATGCAACAGGCTGGGCGTATTCTCAGAACAAAATATACTACACAGTCGGGACTAAGAATATAAATGATTTTATTTAACTTCCTCTTATACACGTAATAAAACGAACGGAGAGATGGTATCTATTTGTCCATTTTTTCTTTATTCTTTATCTATTTTGTCAATTATTCTCTATTCTTTATAATTTTAGAACCTCATTATTCTCATCTTTATTTAATGATTTAGTACCTCATTATTCTGTATTCCTATTTTTGGTGCCTATTTTTTGGTGTCTATTTTTCTGTATTCTTTATTTTTTACCCATTTTGTTGTAGTCGCAATTCCGTAAACAATGGTAAATCAATGCAGACTCTACTTAATATTTCCACTATTTATCTATCAAAGTTTACTTTAGATCGATTTGGCTATAATTTTATGTCCCTCTAGGTCATTCAGCTCTTCACAAGTTTCCGGTCTTAAACATTTTGCTTTTGATTTTTGATTTTAGCGTTGCTGATGAAAAGCGTCTCGGACAGATACAATTTATAGTGTTGTTTTCCTTATCATTTACACACAGGCACATGTCTTTGAATCTTTGTGCCTGTGCAATTACAGCATGAAAACAGAGAAATGAAAGTATGTTTTCATTAGCCTTAAAAATATATAAATTATTTATACTCACAAGCTTTGGAGATTGTTTGGTGGTGTAATAAAAATCGGGTTTGGAACAGTTTTAAATACTATTTCTATTAGATTGTGCAATATTTAATATCACACCTGAGTTAATTGTTTGGCCTTGACTAAAGTTCTATTTTTAACAATCTCTTTGTGTCTATTTTTAATAATGTCTATTTTTAAAACAAATAATCTACCCATAAAAATTAAATTAAATGTACATACATAAATGTATAGCTAGTTTAGGATCAGTGTATACATTAAATGAAGACATGATCAAATATATCTTGTTGTATAGTTTAATTATTGTTACCCTAGATGTAAACATATAAAAACACGCGAAGTGTGAATTCTCATTAGTAATCGATCTGACATTCACAGAGAAAGAGTAGGTTATTTAATGTAAGAATACTAGTAGTTTAAATCGAAGCCGTTGATGTGATATTTTATTCCTATAAACTATTTAAACCTTGTCAATGGGGACGATCTTTTGATTTTCTAGGGGGGGGGGGGGGGGGGGGGGGGGGTCAGGATGATGTTGAAAATGAATAACTTAGCCTAGTTAGAACTGGAAATAAATAACTTTGCACAAGACAGCATGGAAATGAACACAAAATAGAGGAAACAAATGTGTTCAAAGGTGAAATTATATAATAAATAAACATACTTAGTAAGAGATGAAAAAAAATGATCAATCCGAAAAAGGTCCTCCTGCACCACCCGAATATCAAATTGTCGTTCCCGAATGTAGACGTCCGTAAACTGCAATAACTCTTTCCGGGTCAGTTGGTGACTTGTATGGAAAGCAAAACTTTTGTAACCATCGTAACTATCGGTGCCACATGTGGAACAGGAGCAGTTTACCCTCCTGGAGCTCATGAGTTTAACCTCAGGTTTTGAAACACGGGGAATCCGAATACTTTTTTGGGTATCCTTCTTTCTTTTGAGAAATGTTGTACATACTCAATTTTCACATCATATAGCATTTGATATTTCATATAAAATATCCATTCATCATGTATATGTTCCGGACCATATGAGTATTTGGACCATACGCGTATGGTCATGACCATATGTGAATACCCATATGGTCCGACCATACGCATATGGTCAGACCATATGAGTATTATACTCGTTTGGTTATGTACGGGCCGGACCATCTGAGTATTTAGACCATATGGGTATTTTTCAAATAAATTCTAACATCCTCCGCAGGAGCACACAGCTCATTCAATCTCCGAACCCAAACCGACACGAGTAACTAACTGAATTCCTTTATCTTTAAATATTGTCTGAATCTTGGTGTATTTGTTATCTTGCCTTCACTAGAATCTATTTATTAATAAAGTGTTTTATCTTGTCGACTTTTTCGTCCGGAAAGGAATCCGCAGACGTTTTGAGGATGTACTTTTTTTTTCTTTTTTTCTTAGCGTTTGAATTATTATTTCAGAGAAGAAAAAAACTTCTTAATTCAACGTATTTTCATTTAATTATTGAATACTTTCTCCTATTCATACTTTCTCCTTTTCATACGATTTTTCTGTTATTGTAAGATCGTATATAAATTGGACCAAGAATAGATTAGATAACTAAAAACAATTTGAAATATTTAAGAAATTTCAATTTAATAGAAAAACACGAAAATAAATGTTTAACAAGAAAAGAAAGAGGGTTCAATGACCAAAGTTCCTGTGAGTTAAGCAATTGACTCCTTGTTTATCAGTTCTTTTAGATATTTCTTGTAATTGGACTAAATAGCGATAAGGTGTATCTAACAGACAATTGATTGAAAACATTGGTAACGATAGTCAGTTGATGTGTGTTTTTAGATAAAAAAAAAAGCTAGTGATTTGGTAGATCATAATATGCTATGTAACACATTGAGATGCTTTAAGATTTCAAATGTTTCTCTTCATAATAAATATAAAAAATAAGGAGATGTGGTACGATTGTCAATCTTAATCACTATAAGATAAAACAAACAACTATGTCAACAAAAGAAAAAGAAAATGGCATGTAGACACTCTATAGACAAAGAACATAAGCAAACATTAAAGACAAGAATACAAAAAATTACCATAGTACAATAACACAATGGCGGGATGTATAAATACCGTGCCACGCCAAAAGGATATTACCAAAAATACCATTTCGTAATCGATATCTTTCGACAAACCAATAGACAAGATTTGAATATTCAAGTATGTTGTTGGTCGTCCCTTTTACGATACGTCAATAAACATTAATTAATGATGTAACATGGAAACATTGAATAATGATATAATTACAAAAAAGCCAACATGCAATGAGAAAGGCATACTATAATTTGATTATATAAAAACAAGACCATCACACTCATTTTACATTTATAAATTGTATCCACTTCTTTTACTACTATATTTCATTTTTCTTCTTCAACAATTTTATAAAACGACTGAAAATGACGAGACTATTGAGTTTATGCCCCCTTGATATGTAACGTGGGTGTGAAATTTCCACACTGATTTACGATCCTGGCAAAGCAAGTATCTTATCACTTATGTGAACAGTTTCGTAGGTATTTTTCTTCAATAAAGCCGCTTTACATTTTTGCCCTCCGTCACTGTAAAGAAGACATATTACATTTATTGTTCTATTTCGGCTATCACTGATGTGTAGATTTAGTTGGATTGATAATATAGTTGTTTTTTTAACGAAGAACTTACCCTTTAAAGAATCGTACATAACACACGATGAAATATTTGTATTTATCAATTTCCAATGAATATGAAATGTTGGTGAACCCCCGATGATAGGTTCAAAATGTAGTGATTGTCCTTTCTTATCCTTTAGATCTCGTGTTGTCTTTGTTTGGTTACCTGACATTAATTGATGATAATAAGCAATGATGTCACTGAATAAAATAAAGATCACAATTGTTGTGAAAAGTCCTAACCATTGTTCTTTTTTCATGTTGTAATATCTAAAAATAACAATGTAGTATAGTTATAAGGTATTAAATAATTAGATCTGTTACATTTAGCATCTAGAACTAAACGTTCACTGGGAGCTTACATCGTCAAGATTATAAACTAGTATTGAATTCCTTTTGTTTTTTAAAACATGTTTGCACGGGAATATTCTTATGCTAACGGCCCAAAATTGAAAATGTCTTTGGTATTTACCAGACTAATCACTTACAATTACTTATATATAAGTACAGTAATTTACAGGAGTTACACGAAGAGTGTCAAATGCTTGCCCTGCCAGACTGGTTTCTCTTCGACTTATCAGTTTAAATGTCCCCTTGGTATTGTCCGCCTTTTTTTGTCATCACGTGTGTTAAAACTTCAACTTTTAAACAAATCTGTATTTGGTTGCATCTCTGAAAATACTTATGCTGAGTAGAAATGATGTAATCATATAATTTTATTAATAAACTCATCATAGATACTAGGTTTAATATTTTGTACGCCAGACGCGCGTTTCGTCAACAAAAGACTAATTAGTGACGTTTGAATCAAAAAAGATAAAAATGCCAAATAATGTACGAAGTTGAGGAGCATTGAGGATCCGGAATTCCGGAAGGTTTTATGGTTAAAATTCGTTAAATCACAAGGGAATGACTGGAGTATAGAATATGGTTCTCCACGAACTTCTTTCATTTGCCTGTAAAATTCTTGCTAAAGTGAGACGTCCTGTCTGCTCTGCGGGATGTATATCATAATACGCAGCCATGTAGTCCGGTCGGAAGGAGACGTTAGATACGACAGTTCTTGAAATTGAGGACTACGCTCTTTGCACGTTAAATTACATTTTCACACCTTTCTCACGATCAAAAGATGGCCTGTTGAAAGGAAAAAAATCGTCACCTTCCCAACATCCTCTTGTTCCAGTTAAAGTTCGAATTTCTTGCCGTTCACCCTGCAGAACGTGTTTTTTGATTACAGTGTCAATCTGGTCTCGTATGTTAACTGACTCTTTTTTATGTGGCAAGTGATACGGTCTGCTGTCATTTGTAGATGAAAACCCTAGACTATCCATGATGGTTTTTCTCAATATTCCAATATTAAGTACTAGTTTTATGTTTACTGTTTTTATGATATGCTGTTTTGTATTTTTGGGGTTGTCCTGTACCAAATCAGGAATATGGCAGTTGTTATCAGACAGTCCGTTTCTATGTATGTTGGCGTTTGCTTTTGTTGTAGTTCAGTGTTTCTGTTGTTCCGTTGTTTTCCTCTTACAGTTGATGTGTTTCCCTCGGTTTTAGTTTGTTACCCGGATTTATTTTTGTTTAATCGAACTATGACTATTGAACAGCGGTATACTACTGTTGCCTTTGTTTGTGTTTGTCTACCGTTTAATTTTGATATTTAATGGCCCCTTGGAGTTCTTCTCTTTTACTATATAGTCTAGGATAGGTTTTAATGCATTTGATCATACTAATAATTCAACATTCAATATTTAAATTTGACTAAATCTATTGAATTATATTAGTGTTTATTGAAATCAACTAAGGTTTATGTCTCACGCTTTATTCGATACTTAGAAATGAAATAAAGTTCCTCGACAATTACTAACCTTAAAAATATTAGAAAACAACTAATGTTTCCTGTTTAGTTTCTTTTTTTCCTGGAATAAGTCATATAACACATTTTAAATAATTTGTTTACTGTACACTTATTCTATTGTATTATGAGTACTGAGCCGTGAAAAAAATATAAACTTCAAGTAATATTAAAATAGAATATTACATACTTTTACATATATAAACTGAGAAATCATTTCCTTTGCTTTATGCTGGTTTTTTTTAGATGGGTAGAAATTAAAGATATATTAGGGTTTTTTATAAAGATTGATAGCTCAAAATTATATATTGACAAATAAAATGCCTACCCATGTTTAAATTAGTATTATAGAGCATGACACAAAATAATTAATTCGATTCAGATAGGAAATTTCAGAACATTTATCATTTACAGTGGACATTTAATGTAGCGAGAGAACAAAAAGTAGTGGTTCCCGTTTTAAGCTTTACAGGTTCATCTTTAAAGATTTGATTTGATTTTGTAGCAATTAACCCCCACAAAAATAT